TTAAGGAACCTATCAAACCAAGCTCTGGGGGATTGCTTCAATCTAACTTCTTCAATTTACATACATTCTTTTTAGTTATCTGAGATGAAAAGCCTAAAGGAATCTCTATGTATACATCCTTCAAATTTTCGTAAAAGAAGACATTCTTTACATCCAACTACCACAAATTGCACCCAAATTAGCTGCACAAGAGATAAGTGCACGTATGGAGTTCATTTTTGCTATGGTAGCAAAAGTCTCTTGATAATCAATACCATATATCTGCGTAAATTCTTGAACAACCATACTAGCTTTGTACCTCTTGACAGTTCCATCAGCTTGTTTGATAGTAAACACATCTCTACCTTACTATTCTTGCTCATGGAGGAATACAAACAAATTGCCACGTGTTATTTTTTTTAATGGCTTTTATTTTCTTTACCATAGCTTCTCTCCATTTAGGAACAATGAGCCATCTTCCAATCCTGATAAATAGATACAAAAGATAAGGAATCATAAGAAATAAAGTTAGAGATAGGATGTTGAGTACAAGCTCCAACACCCTTACTGACTGCAATGGGAAGTTCAGAGTAATCAACAACAGGATTATCCATAATAGGAGTAACACTTTGAAATCCATTACCTGATAAATCGGTGGAGCATGGAACTTGAGTTAGGGAATTCAACTAGTTTGGCGGCACATGGGTAAATTGTACCATTTGACGCCGAGTATAAATTTTCAGATTATCCCTGTGAAGATGATCACCGTGTGGATCACTAATATCACCTTTTTCCCTAATAGTTGTTGCTTTCCCCGACTGACATTCCATTGAACAAATAATGGAAGAAGAGGCTCATGGCAAAACATCTCTTTCTTAATAGTGGCATTCTCCCCTTGAAGAGATGTCTAGGTAGTAGGGAAGAAGGGCTCAAACTCACGAAAGGTAACATCCATGCTAATATACATTTTCTGAGATTGTGGATGATAACATTTATAACCCTTTTAGGTGGTAGAGTAACTAACAAAGACATATCGGAGTGCTTTGGGATCAAGTTTCCCCATGGAGGGTCTGTAATCATGTACAAAACAAATACACATAAAGACTTTAGGAGGAAGGGAAAAAATGGAAGAAGACTCAGACAAAGACTCAATAGGGGACTTAAATTGCAAGACGCTCGAAGTTAGACGATTAATAAGATAAGCAGAAGGAATAACAACATTCCCTTAAAAAGATTGAGGAACTTTCGTGGTAAACGACAATGAACGAGCAACCTTAAGAAAGTGATGATTTTTTTGCTCAGTTACAACATTTTGATCCAGAGTACTCACAAGTGGTTTGATATAGAATGCCATTCTCATTAAGGTAAAAACAAAATTTCCTATCAGTATACTCAGTTTCATTACCACTTCAAAGGATTTTGACTTTAGCATCAAAATGGGTACTTACTATCTTATAAAAAGATTTAAAGCACGGGAAAACTTCACCTTTACTACGTAGTAGATACTTCTAAGAGTAGAATAACAATCAATAAAGGTAATAAACAATGATACTTCTAGGATAGGATGAACGTTTATGTTTAGCAAATTCACAAGTATCACAAATAAAAAATTGTCTACTACACTGCTTCACTAGATTAGGAAAAAGATGCTCTAAAATATTAAATAATGTATGTCTCAATCGTCTATGATGCTGATGTAAGATCTGAAGGGCTGAAATACCATTTGCCTCCGAAGCTTGACTGGTAGACTATGGAGAAACTTTAGCATGAAGGAGATATAACGCACCATGTGCTCTATCAATGCCAATCATTTTTTCCGACTCCACGTTGTGAACAATACAATGAATATGGAAGAAATTTACTAAACAATTTAAGAATTTTGTAATATTACTAACAGATAATAAATTAGTTAAGAAATTGAGAACATAAAGAACAAAAGAGAAGGATAAAGAGGGTGAACAATTAATTGAACATTTCCTAGAAATCGAGGATAAATATCCATGTGCCACCATGACTTTATTCCTACCAAAACATGTAGAATATGAAGAGAAAAGATTAGAAGACTTGTCATGTGATCTGTGGCTCTATAATCTATTATTCAAAGAGTGTATGAGGATGATGTAGTAAACGCACTAGCAGATAGACCTGTATGAGCAAAGTTCGAAGAAGAGGTAGGAGTAATAGCTGTAGTAGCAAAAACATCAAGCCGAGCCATTACATGCTTAAATTACCCCTTCTACCGCCACCTCGGCCACGAATAGGATGTCCAGTCAGCTTCTAACAAAAAATTTCTAGTATGTTTGGCCTTCCCACAATAATCACATCTCAAGGTTTCCTTAGCAACGGTGCTACTTGTCTCAACAGACTTGGGCAAGACTTAGCCTAAGTCACGATGAGGTATAACAACCAGTGTAGACTGTTCCTATGGAGGAGTATAGACCGTAGCAATCTTCGGGCTCTCCTCTTGTTGAACATAGACATAAGCTCTTGTAAATTGGAAAATGGAAGATGACCCGAACTCGAATATGATCATATTCAATATTAAGACCAACAAGGAAGTCATACACTCATTTCTTCTCCACCTTTTGCCAAAATTTGACTACATCATTAGTACAATCAGTCTGAAAACTCTAATTGTAGTAAACTCTTACCATAAAGTAGTCAACTTTGCATAGTACACTGCAAGAGTCTTATCCTTTTGATTAATCTTTTGAACTTTCTTTCGTAGATCGTATGTCTTAGTATTATTGCCCCTTTAAGAATATGTATAAGCCATAAGAATCCAAATCTTATGTGTTGTATCAAGTAACAAAAAACCTCGACCGATTGAGGGTTGCATTGAATTAAAACATAATTAAGACATTTTTAAATGTCCAATGCTTCAAGGGGGAACCAGATTTGTTAGGCTTCTTAGTCTCTCTAGTCAAATATCCATCCAAGGAGATTGCTTGGACGGATAGTAAACAACACCGTGATCAAGCTAGATAATTGCACCAATCCAGCTTCTTTGAAAATTAATTTGGAGCATTGTTATCAAAATCGTAAGGTTCGCAATTCGATTCGATTCGATTTAGTCCCCATTCGATTCATATTTTACTATAAAATCGTTTTTAGATGAGAATAGCACCAGAATCTCAAGAACTGTACAATTCGATTAGAATCAAACAAATTGTACGATTCGATTTATTATTACTTTTAACTCTATTTCTAGTAAAACAATGTCGTTTTGCTAGAAGACCCATCCCCAAAATATAGAACTTGCGTTTTTATCTATATCTCCTGTTTGTGTCTCTACCTCAAACAACTATTCAAGCGTCTATGAACATCACACAGAGATGACATCTCCTTCACTTCAGGTGTGGTTTTTTTTCTTTTTCAAAAATAGCTACCAACCCCTAATGTATCCTACTTCTTCTTATTCAATAAATGCTCTGTTTTTTATTTTTATTAAAAAATTATTTTTCAATCGAATGTGGGAAGTAATTTTCTAAGTTTACATGTTCAAATTTGTATGAGGTTTTTCTATTTTAGTTTAACTTCATTAGTGGGAAGACAATGAGTATTTGTTAGTTAAAATCATGCATCTTTCATCGTGGCTATTTTGAGGAAATGATTTATTATAAATCAAGAAAAAAGTAAGAGAGGTACAAACTCAAGTGTAGTTTTATAAAATAAAAATTTATAAAGGCTAGCATATTTTTATTTAGACGACGTGATCATGTTAATACTTGTCAAATGATTATTTTAAAATACAATAATGATCAATATTTAATATCTTGTCTATTTTACATATGTACATGTTATTTTTTTCATAATTTTCGAATTTTATGTCGAATCTTACGATTCTCAATTCGATACGATTCTTGATTCTCAAATCAAAGATTTCAAAGTTCGATACAAATCTCGAGATAACTATAATCTAGAGTGAGGGATTATTTGCTACAGTACCCAAACGGTTGAACCCACTACCTTTGGTACTTGTGGAGGTCACACTAACTTCTAACAAATTTGTACAATATAATCAACAAAAGATAGCAAACAATCCTAAAAAATCACAATTTATAATCAAATCAAACCAAGAGAACGACTCCAACAATAGTCGTATAACCCCTATGTAGTAGGAAGACCCAAATCAACAGCCAAAAACACTTCCTATGGAGAAAACAATACCAGACACAGTCGCTTGCCTCACGGAATAGTGGTGCCGATGCACTCACGAGGCACAAAAACCTCTTAAATCCAACCAAATTGCAATAGAGAGCTATAGGCTTTCAAATATAACCCTTGTCACACCTTGTTGAGTGGGAAGGGCCAAAATCTAGGCTGCTAATTGTTCGAGTAAGCAGATCGCAATTTCAAGCCGAATAATCCCCAAAAAAAATTCGAAAAATCAAAAAGTTTGTTCAGATGACTTCAAAAAATACCACAAAAATAAACAAAATTATTAGGAGGCGAAGTCGATTCAAATTTGTTGATTTCGTAAAAAATCTGGCATGTTGGTGCTGACGTTAGCATGTCAGATGCTAATGTTAGTCATTGCTAGTTGCGACAACAAACTTTCGATGAGTTTCCGACAACTTTGAGACATATTTGATAGATATTTTGATATCAAGTTAGATTATTTTGACGTTAGAGTTTGGAGAAGAAGAGAGAATAAGAGAGAGAGAGAATTAAGAAAAAGGGAAAAGTGTATTAGGTTAACACAATTACACCCAACATATATATAGTCACAAAGTACAAAGTACTAAACTACCCTTAATCTAGAAATAATGTGGAACTTAAGGGATATATATGTATATTCATGCATAAATGTATGTATTTGGATCTGAACTGAAGCCTCACTTTGAACCACATAATGAACTCGGTTTTGGTAGTATTAGTTGATTCTTCTATGATCTCCCTTATGTGGACCATCAGCCTGCATTTAGGTTTTAGTTGTGGGGCAACTAGATCATGGAATGTTTGTGTCCTGGAATACTTTTCTTGCCAGTATGAGAGTCTGCATACATCTTTGTTGCCAAATGAATTTGTCTTTGCATCTTGCAGAGGAGGTCTTGCAAGGCGTTGCTGGAGGCATTGATCTATTCGACTCCACGTGTGTAGCTCAGTTCAAAATGGTTTTGATTTTTTCTTTCCTTGCTGTGTTATACTCCTGAAACTTTAATTTTTTTGGCACAATTTTCTAGGTATATTTACGATCTTACCCTTGGAGGCTTTGCGCTAACCTTTCCTCTAGATGTATCTGATTCTCTGCCATTTGATACTGGGAGTGACCCCCCAACAATTAATTTGAAAGCTACTGTTTACAGGTAATTTTCTGACCTTTTCTTTCTTAACCTTCCTGTAGAAGTTTGCATTTTGTGATCTTGGCTGCTTGGGCATCAAGGTATAGAAATGCCTAGTGCTCAATTGTAGTTCCTTTGTTTCTTAGATATTTGTATGGAAGATTCTCAAACAAATTCGATGGGTTGAGTAGAACATGGAAAAATGTGGTTGAAATACAGTGGAAATTTGAAACTTCTATTTGTGATATGTCAAGCACATCTTCCTTCCAAATCTTTTGTGTTTGATCTTTGTCCATATGCAACTCGGCCCCTTGCTCTGAAGTCTAACCGCTCCATAAAAAAGGGTTCCCCCCTTGTTGTAAAGGTGCAAACCAGGTCATGAAGTCCAGTTTCAAAGATAAACTGGAAACTGCAGCAAAAGCTCAAAAAGGGCAGATAGAACCCTAGAAGCACTGCAAAGAAAATTCTTTGCAATAGATATTTCAAAACAACAATAGATTCCGTTAGATTGGCTTCACACCCCTTTACATAGCTTTCATTCTATATTACAGCTGTACACACTCATTTCCCACCACATTAGACCAAAAGGTTACATAGACTTATTGATTGACATGAATTTAGCACATGCTACAAACTCAACTCCATTTAATTCAACTTAACTCAACTCAACAAAGCCTTTTTCACAATATTTTTTGGGTTGGCTCTATGAATCCAGTTTTCCCATTGTGCTCTATTAAATGCAATACTTTTTGTTAAACTATAAGATATCATATCTTTCTTTAGACATGTATCTTTACACTTAACGTTAATAGCTATTATATCACTCTTTCGCATCAATTCCATAGTAGGCCGTCTATAAAAATATGTTCAAACCACTTAAGTTGATTCTCCCTTGATTTATCTCTTATATGTGCTACTTCTATTTTTTCATGAATATAATTGTTCTTAATTCTATCATTCCTAATTTTACTACACATCCATTTTAACATTTTTATTTCCGTCACACTCAATTTTTAAACTTATTTTTTAGTTACTCAACAATTAGTACTATAAACATAGCGGGTCTCATGGCCGCTCTATAGAGGTATTTTTAGTTTAAAAAGGTATGTGTATATCACACACTACAACGGGTGCACTTCTCCATTTAGTCCATCCCACTTTAATACTATGAGTACATCGTCATCAATCTCACATTGAATAATAGACCATAAATATATAAATTAGTCACTCATTGTTATTTCTTGATCTTAAATTTGTATTACTTTTCGGTTTGAATTTCTCCTTTTACTAAAGTCACATTCTATATATTCTGTTAGAGTTCTTATTCTTTATATATTAGTCATACTTAGCAAATGTAGCACAATATTATTACTACCTCAAAATATCTATTCTATAAATAAGAGGATGTAGGGTAACACAAAATACAAACTCATATTATTCTTCTCAATCTTTTCTCACTTCTTTTTTTTTCTTTTCTCAAAACCTAATCTTGATTTACTAATATAACTTGGCATCAAAGCGAGGTTCGGCAAAAAAAAAAAAAAAATAGAAGGAGAAGCAGGACTACCTAAAGCAGCCTCCGTCCATTGCCGGTTTCTTTGTCGGAAAGTGGCAATTTCTGGCGACCAAACCCTACCTCCATAATCGACTTTGTGACTCGGTGTTTATGGTGATTTTCTCAAATTTTTTTGAGGCCATCTCAACCGAGTTTTCAGTTTTGAATGTTTTTTTAATTTTTCAGCCTCAATTTTTTTATCTCCTTTATGGACGAGATTTGAAGCTTTTTGGTGCATGTTTTTGATTGAGAGGGGTTCTACTAAGACTATTAGAGGTGGTGTGGTTTGAATTTGACCCATCTCGGTTTGCTTAGACTTTTGAGGGTTGGCGAACATGTGTGTTTGGGTTTGTCTGAGGTACCCACTGCCATCTGTTGATTTTTTAAAGCTCCTTTGGCCTTGAAGTATCCGATAGGTACTATTCTACCCAATGTTTTGAAAAGCTCGCCTAGGCGAGAAGCAAGGCGAGGCGAGCTTATCTCGCCTGGAGGACCCTAGGCGAAGCGAACATGAGCGAAGTGAGAAAAAAGCGAGAAAAAACGAAAAAGCGAAAAAACATACACTTTATTATAAGAGGCGATTCTGCTCTCCCCCCTTTTTTTTTTTTCCCTGATCACATGTTAGTAGTCTCTTTTATTTTTTAATCACTGATGACTCTTTTTTTAAACTATCGCTGGTCTATTTTTTTTTTTTTTTCTGATAAGCAATGATCCGAACAAAATACGTTTCTTTTTTTTTTCTTGTGTTGCTGAATTCATTTAGAATATTTGTAGGATGTGGGAGTCAGGCNTTTTTTTTTTTTTTTCTGATAAGCAATGATCCGAACAAAATACGTTTCTTTTTTTTCCTTGTGTTGCTGAATTCATTTAGAATATTTGTAGGATGTGGGAGTCAGGCGACTGCATGAAAAAATTATGATAAAGAAAGGAAGCAGCAGTATCAGGAATGGGGGTAAATAATAGAGCCTTCTACAAAGAAGTGTCTCTGATATATGTGTTGGTTATACTTTTCCCTTTTCTTATATATATACAAATGGTACCAAAAAGTGGTCTATGCTTATACCATGTTTAATTATTTTAGTACATGTGAAATGTGCCTTTGTTCTGTTTTTTTTATTCAGTACATAATTACATATGAAATTGTTTACAATTGATTTTGCTCCTTTCATGATCATTATACTTCTGTTTTTTTTTTAGCTCATTCTGCTTGTATTTTTTTTTTGTTGATTCTGTTGCTGCTTCGGTTTTGCTGACCTGTGCTACTTTTGTTTTTTTTTATTCTCATTCTGCTTTTTTTTTTGTTGCTGATTCTGCTGCTGTCCTGATTCTGCTTCTTNTGCTTGTATTTTTTTTTTGTTGATTCTGTTGCTGCTTCGGTTTTGCTGACCTGTGCTGCTTTTGTTTTTTTTTATTCTCATTCTGCTTTTTTTTTTGTTGCTGATTCTGCTGCTGTCCTGATTCTGCTTCTTTTGTTGTCCTACTTTGTCAATATGAAAATATATACAATTGTTAGTATTTGTTTGAATTTAAATGTTTAAATTATGACTGTTATTAAGATTTGAGATATTATTAGTGTTTGTTTTAATTTAAATGTTTATGGTTTTACTTGCATTTAAATATTTAGTATATATAAAATTAGAACTTAGATTGTTTAGAAGTAATTAAACTAAAATATATATATTTTTTTAACTGTTCGCTTTGCTTCGGTAAAGTGTGTCACTNTTGTTTAGAAGTAATTAAACTAAAATATATATATTTTTTTAACTGTTCGCTTTGTTTCGGTAAAGTGTGTCACTTCGCTTCTCGCTTCTCGCTTCTCGCCTAGGCGTTAGGAGCCTTGGTTGTTTCGGTTCGCTTTACGCTTTAAATAACACTGATTCTACCACTGTTTATTTGTCTTCTTTTTTTTTTAATTTCAACATCTATTTCTGTCTTCTATGGCTCCGGTGTATTTTTTGTGGGTGTCTATTGTGTTGGGAAAACTACCTATGCGTGTTTAGTTCAAATTATGCTTGTTGGATTAATGGTTTCAATCAGTGGGTTTTGGGCTGATTTTGTGGTTTTCCTTCATTTTTTGTTATGCTCTTCTAGTGAGGGGAGCTCTTGTTGCTTATTGTATCAGAATGTGAATCTAGTTTCTCTCCAATTTCTGATCCATCTACTATTCCATCGTCTTTTGATTTGTCAATTGCAAAAGATACTTGTAGTTGTGATAAACATCCCATTTCTAATTTTATTTCTTTACATTTACTTTTCATTCTTTCATTGTTTTGGATCAACATTGTTGTTTTAATTTATTTCTAGTTTCTTGAAACATACATTTGCCTCTCTTGGATGGAAACTGACTGTGGATGAGGAATTGAAAATCATACACAAGTTCTCACTCCACTTCTTTCTAGTAAGCAGAATGTCAGTTGTCATTGGGTCTACAATATAAAATATCATCCAGAGAGTTTTGTTGAGCGCTTGAAGACATGGTTGGTTGCCAAAGGCTACACCTAGACATATGACGTGGATTACTATGAGAATTTTTCACGTATTGCTCGTCATAACTCTGTTATTGTTCTTAATTCTGTTGCAGTCTATCTTGATTGACCTCTATATCAACTAGACATTAAGAATACTTTTTTACATGGAGATTTACGGGAGGTGTTTATGGTTCATGTTTCTCATGGTTAGGTTCAATTAGTGTGTCATTTGAAGAATTGAATATTCTCTTGTTTCCAGGCAGACACTTTCATATTCTTTTTGAGGAATTGAATTAAGAGGTTTTTAACTTCCCTATTTAGCTTAGATCCCACGTATACCAGGTGCTCTGGCTTCTTGTCAAGCTGAATAAGCTCCAGCTCTTTTGAGGGCATTGGCCTGGTCTCCAACTCGTCTTTTATGTCGAGCTCGTCTAGGTGGATATTCTCAATCTCTTTCTTTTTCATGGACATGATGAAAGCCAATGTGGGCCTATTCTTAAAGATCCTTTGCAAGTATAGATGGGCCAATTACAAGATCAAGAAAACAATGCAAGGATGCTCCCAACACTCAAGATGGGCTTGAAAGAAGGAGAACCAATTTTGATCCATTTGATTCTTGTTCTAGAAGAATCCAGCTAGGGGCTAAGGCTAAGATTCAATTGGTTTTTTTTGTTAAGCCTTTCAATTTGTTTAAATAATTTTTATTATTAGTTTAGATTAAGTGGGTTTGAGGATGCTTAGCCCACATATGTATTATTATTTTATTTGAACTAGGATTTAGAATAAGTATTATATCATGGTACTGTTCATGCTATAGTACTCGTGACACTATTCACTCAAGGGCATTTTTGAGAGAAAGGGTTACAAATTTTAGTTTTTATTTATTCCTATTTAGATTAGGATTTGTTTCCTTGTAATGGCTAGCCTATAAATAGGTGTTCTATCAATGAAATAGGGGAGACAATATACAATGAATTTTGATTGTGAGTTGAGTTGAGTTTAGTTCTCTTGTTCTTGATTGAACTTTTGAACTTATCAAAGGTAAATCACAACCTTTGTGGCGTTCCTCCTTGTAATTTGGATTCTTGAGACGGGTTCTTCAATGGGTCTAGATTTTAATATAATCTAGGTTCTTGAAACAAGATCTCAACGGGTCTAGATTCTCCATCCATAGACTTGAGTTTGGCTTTCTTGAGTTGTATTTTCAATATTGTTGTTGGGTCTCAAAGCAGGACTATTGGGGTTCACATCAGGACACCATATAGCACTCTCGTGCCACACACTGGACTCCTTGGACCACTCTGATTCCGTTTTTGGTAGGGAATTTTATGTCGAGGTGGTAGGTTGAAGGAATAGTCCTCATGGCGTTGATGTAAAGTCTTCCTAGCAGAACGTTGTATGCTAAAGGTGCATTGACCACTATGAACCTCAGTGGTGGTGGACTGGCATGGAAGATCTCCCATAATGAACACAACTTGGATTGAGCTCAGAGTAGCACTCTTTCCCCGAAAAATTCCAATAGGTGAGCCCTTATTGGCTCAAGTTTATCTTTGCTTATATTCATCTCGTCGAAGGCAAATGCGAAGATGATGTCAATAGAGCTCCTGTTGTCAATCAAAACTCGATGGATGGTCCTATTGCCGATGATAGCCCTTACCACCAAGGGGTTATCGTGGGGATGCTAGCAGCCCTCCAGGTTTGTATCTGAGAAAGTGATATCCATGTTCAGCCTAGGTGCTTTGGACATAGTGTGTACTTCCAGCATCCCGTAGGTTTTGACTTTGCGCATGTGAGCCTTTCTGGCTGAGCTGGACTCCCTGCCTCCAACAAATCTTTCGGATATCACTCTAATCTCACCTAGAGGTTGTTGATGTTACACATGGACTTGCTGCTGAGGTGCTAGAGGTAGTTGAGCTTTGTTCTAATTGTCCTGCGTCACAAAGCGGCGCAATTGTCCCCGTTGGATCAGGAACTCGATCTCCTTCAATTAGATGTAGTCATTAGTGAGATGACTGTGGTCCCTGTGATATTCACAATATTTTGTTGCATCTCTTTTCGTGGGATCTGCCTTCATTCGGGGTGGCTATCTTAGAAACTTTTGTTTCTGTATCTCATAAAGGACTTGGGACACTGTGGTTGTGAGTGGAGTGTACTGCCAAGGTGCAAATCTTGGCTGCAGTTCTTGCGGTGGTGGACCAAGGTGGTCTCTAACGTCTCCTCTCCTTTTCGGAGAACGGTCCCTGTTTCTTCGTAGAGACCTATCTTTATTTCTTTCCTTTCTAGGGCTTCGGTCCCTCTTGTTCTCCTTCTCTTTCTCCTTGTGCGTGGACGTGTTCCCTACCTTGGAGATGAGTGCTTCCTTACCGTTGATGTACTTTTCTGCCTTGACGAGGATTTTTGCCATACTAGCTTGTGGATTTTTGGAGATAAAGAACATTAGGTCATTTGATTGGATTCCCAACCCAACAATAAAGGCAGTGATGGCGAATTTCTCGTTAAGGGCATTCACTTTCAGGGATTCTGCGTTGAACTTGTGAACATAGCTCTGCAGGCTTTTGTTGAGTCCTTGCTTCACATTCAACGGGTGATAACTCGGTTTTTGATAAGTTCGAGCTCCAGTGAAATGCGATACAAAGGAGACGGAGAGTTCTCTGAAGGATGAGATGGATGTTGGGGGCAGCCTATTAAACCATGCTTAGGGCTAAACCTTTTAAAGTGATGGCAAAGGCCCGGCATCGTACCGGGTCCTAGTACCCATGTAGCTCTATTTGATTCTTGTAGGTGTTGAGGTGGTCCATGAGGTCTTTTGTTCCATCGAAGACCTCCATTTGGGGCATTTTGAATATAGGTGGAAGTGGAAAGTGCAGCGAATGGGAATTCAGTTTATTGAACTGAGGCATCTATAGTCACTGGAGTTTTACTTTTAACAGCCTCCTTTATGTGGTTAAGCTCCTGTTGAATGTCTTTGAAGTGTTGTTCCCAATATTGTTTTTTCCTTTCCTGTTGAAACAAAGAAAATTCATTATTACGAGCTTCCCTATTTTGACCTTGCACTTCCTCGTCATCCTCATTCCTACGAATTCGACGATGAACATTGCCCACAGTTTGGCTGCGCTCATCTCCCTCGGTGATGTTTTTCAGGGGGTTGTGCTGTTGTTCCCTCTGAGGGGGATCATCTTGGGTTGGCTGGCTGCACTCTTTGTGGATGTTGAAGGATATTTAGCAACTCCTCATTTTGTTGGAGGAGACGTTGATTGGTTAGGCAAAAGGGCCTCCAATTCGTTGTTAGGTGCGGGATTCACTATGGGAGGATCGACTTCAAGTGTAGGCAAGAAATCATGGGGATTTTCTTGTTGCCTTCTAGTGGTAGCTTCTTGTTGGTTTTGTAATTGAGGAAGATTCGCTTGTCCTTTGCTCATGTGTGTAGAAACTATCAATTACTGAAGGAAATTAGTATATTTTTTAACGAAAAACAATCGTTCCCACAGACGGCACCAACTGTTGATGTTATTAACGCGACTGGACTGAGGTATGAATATAAGATGTACTGAACAGTTCAGTTTGAGCTCGAAGGCTCTGAGGGATAGGGTTTTTTTGGGATTGATGGATGATTACGCACAGTGTTTATAGTAGTTCATCAGCTCAGGAGCTCGATTAATCCACTCTTAAGGGAGTCTCTTACTCCTAAATCTATTAACAACTGTGTGTGATTTATAGAGAATAATTCATAAGGCTGCAATGACTCTATCTTCTCTAGAGGGCTTTGCCTTTTATTTACAGATATTCCTGGGCTTTGCTTGATCTAGGGTGAGATCCTTGCCCCTTCCTTGTAACGGTTGCCCCTTATTGCGCAACGAGACTTGTGCCTGTTGGGTGAGTGACGCCAGAATGATGGGGGACTCGGTGGGATTCAGCTGTCCTTTGAACAAACTTCCTTGAGATATGGACACAGAGAGTTGAGGTCTAAGGTCGAGGTCTACAAGTAATATTGACGAGCTGAGATCCCGAGCTAGTAAGCATGACCTGGGGAACAGAGCTCATCCTTAGATATTTTGTGGTACCATCAACCATCAACCTTTCATCATATTTCATACAACTGAGAGACAGAGTAAAAGGGCAAACAGAGAGAGATAGAGATATTGAAAAACAAAGAATGGGGCAATAGACGAAGATAGAGAGAGCATACCTAAATGATCTGCTACCGTAAATTGAAGGCGTAGTGAAGATGGAAATGGGAGCGACGGTTTCGTGCAATGTGAAAAGGGCTTTAACCCTAGTATCCATTGTTATGGGGGCAATCGTAAATTGGTATATTATCCAGTCGGTAAGAATTCTTATCCCACACAATCCATGGGTTGTTGATATGCACTTCATGAGGGATAAACGGGTGATTTTCCAACGGCCCGATGAATTTGAACCCAACTTTATCCTACCCTATTTTTTATAACCAAATAAAGGATATGTGGGGCCTGAGATATTTTAATCCAATCCAACCATGTAATCCCCCTTTATCCAGTGAAACAAACACCCCCCTAGCGCATTTCACTAACCTATCATTGTCTAGTTGTCTTTGACCCAACTCTAGGATTGCTCTGCAGGAGCCACAAAAAATTTGTTGGATCTATTTATAGACGCTGTATCTATTTTCTCTATTATTGGAGCAATTGTTAATTTTTTACACAGTATTCAAGACTTCTAGGGGAGATTTAAAAACTCCTTTCTGATTTGATGAGTTTTATGCTGCTGGTTGTATTGTGTTTTGTTTTCAAGTTTTGGTGACCGTATCATGCTTATGCACCAAAATACCATATCATAGGTCCTTTGTTTCTCATGTGTTACTGCAATAATTCTTTTGGTGATTCACCTTGGTCTCTTGTTTATATTTTTCATTCTTATATGTTTTTATTATGAAAGAGGATAAAAATCGTAAATTGATTTGTGTCCCTTCCTTTGGCAGGAAAGATACATCACCAATTATCAATAGCTGTACCTGCTACACATGTCAGAATCATACAAAAGCATACATTAATCACTTGCTCAATGTTCATGAAATGTTGGCCCGGATTCTATTAGAAATGTAAAATTTTCATTTCATCTTTTATGGTTTCTGTCATTGTTATTGCTACTTTTGTTGATTTTCTGCATCTAATAAAAGTTTGTCGTGAATTTTTCAGACATAACACACACCATTATCTGACATTCTTTCACTCAGTTAGAGAATCAATCAAGGAAGGGAAGTTTGAGCAGTTTAGGCTGAAGTTTGTTGAAGGAAGGCATGATCACCTTTTTGCCACTTCTTTTGGGGTATGAGTTGTGAAGTCCTACAGAGCTTAGGTATCTGAAACTTACATTCTTGTTGAGAATATGGCATCCCACATTAGTAGATGTAGAATGGAAGAAATGCCAATTTACTGGGCACAACACATATTCGTACTAGTAGTCTCAATGGGAAATCCCACCACATGGTTGGGTGACTTTGTTTTACTAAACGAGAGCGGATGTGTCCTTACAGCAGGGCAACCTATGGTAAGACTACCACAACCCCATAAAGGATAAGCATCAGGTGCATCAAGCAGTGTTTGAAACACGGTAGGGGCGATGCCTCTTCACTCTTAGGCCATGTATTTCTTACAGAAGTGGTTTCATTTGCTTTGTATTTCTTGACCAAATAGAAGAAATAATCAAAGGAGTGCTTCACTCTTAACTCTTTAAGATTCAAGAAAACCAGTTCATTGTAAGAGTTTTAGACCAAAGTAACACTCTTTAAAAATAATTCCCAATCTAATATTGTTATGAAAATCATTTTCATTCTAATTTGCTAATTAGCATGCCAAGAAGTATATCTGAGTCTTTATAGCTTTCTTTACCGGAGTATATTTGCCAAGTTTATGGAACTTTAACTGAGGTTTATCATTGTTCACTTCTCATCACTGGCAATATACTCTTCCGAGAAAATAACTTGCAGCTTCATGTGTATAGAATTTTAAAAATTAATTGAGGTTCATCAGTGTTGCTTTCTCATCAGGACCAACATACTATCCAAGAAAATAAGTTATCAGATTTTGTTTTGAATCCTTCAAATGTATTGGAAATTATAAGTTAACATGGTTAGCATGGACTAGTACTAGAAACAAACTCAAAATAACACAATCCCAACATTGAGATGACATGCTTCGATTAATGTTGTGTATGTCAATGTAAATCTGACATTGCCGTCAATCCTTTTTTTATGAGATCAATATTTAGTACACTGATCTTCAGTCCTTGGTGACCTACATTTCCAATCATTTAGTTTTGGCTCTCTAGCTGGTTATTCAAACTAAAGCTCATTGAGATTTTTTATTTTTGAGGGTACAAATTAAAATTTGAACAATCTTTCAGAGTGCAATTTACAATTAACCTTTTTATCTATATGACCCTTTAAATCCCAGTGTCAACGTTGAACATGACAACTCTTTGATTACTTTGGAACTTGTGTGTCGAGTAGTAATAGGTTTGATGATTGAGAATTTTTGTTAATTGTCAACGTACGATGATCCAGTCGTCCATTGTTCACTTCCTTTTTATCTTCCTTTATGAAAACCAGTATTTCATATGTCCTTGGTCGATAGTTTGCCCCGATCAAAAAAGGAGGACCATTTGGTGCATTTGAACAAATTAACATGAGAAGATGTTGCGTAATCCAGAACTTCAATATAATTAGTGGATGGAAAGATGCGCCCCTTCATGGAGTAATACAACCAAAGAAGCTAAAGATAAAATAGGTTGATTAATTGAGAGAGGGCGAGAATTATAATCCATATTAGTGGTTTAAGCTCCCTCTTAGGCTTGAAGCATTGCAAATCTAGTAAAATGCTTTGCTGAAAAATTATACTTTCTGTGAGAATAACCAAGTGGAATATCAGTTTAAAGTTTTGAAGTTTCAATATACATGAAACTGTTTGGCGGAGAGGCTTATATACTTCCCAAAGAGCATTTGAAGGAGATAGTGTTGCTTTGGGCAAAACACTCTTGATTTTAACGGGATTTTGGAATAAGTTGAGTTATTTATTTCTTTTAACAGCAATAAAAAATTGCCTTCATAGTCTTATGATGTGTTTGATATGTGGTAATGTCTTTAGGCTGGAATTGAATGAACATGAGAATGGAATAAAATGTGCGTTACTATTTCAATATTTGACTATTATTTTGATAAAATAATTGGATTAAGTTTTGGAATAGAATGAACTTTCCATTCCCACATTTGGATAAAATAATTTTTAGTAGAATGAAATGGAATTTGGCCAAAATAAATACTTTTCTACTATAAAGAATTCGTAACTTAATGTTGGTAACATACTTCCTTGAAAAATTACAGAATCAACACACTCATAAGCCTTTTTCATGGGAAAAGATTCTTCAACAAAACAACAAACATTAAAAATAAAAATGGCACAAATACACAAGCCATACATAATGCTACCTATATATTTGTTTACATATAAAACTATGTTTGTTTACAATATATCATCCTACATAATACAAATAAGTTCATCAACTAAACAATTACAATTCAAAAATCACCCCTTAATAATCCTCTAACAAAGTCTATTTTCTCCACCACAAGGATGGTAAAAAAAGGATCCGTAAGATCAGAGTCATCACTCGTTGAAAAGTTAGGCAATTTTATCAAATCTTCCAAAATCTTTTTCTTTAGAGTAATATTACATGAACTTAAAAATTAGACTTGATAATCACAATCATTGAATAGATAGTGAGTATCAATAAATACTGAAACCCATAACACCTAGACCAATTGCATGGGCAAACACAATTGTTGTCTCTTTAATCTCCCCACTAATGAGAGATGCAGCAAACTCTCATAGAGGGGGAAAGATTTATCTCTAAACTTTTTTCCTCCTACGTGGGTCTACAATGTAAATAAGTACAATATTAAATTCATATAATAGTAAGTGATTAACCATCAAAAGTAACATAATATCATAAGTTGAAATGGTTAATTGCATGCGTTTTGTAAGTAAATAAGTGTGATTATCATAATTTTATCATTAATACTTGTTTTAGGATAATTAAACTTTTTCAGGTCAATTTGAGCGAATTTGGCACATGTGGATAAGATGAAAATGGGAGAAAACGACTATGAGATGAATCTTGACTTTTGGATAGAATTTGGCTTTCGTCTAGATGCAAATCTTTCATTCGGATGCAAACCAGCCGCTGGAAGGCAGTCACTAGGGCGGCGTAGGATAAATCTTGTCTTCGTCTGGACGCAGATTTTCCATCCAGACACAAATGCTGAAATTTTGACAAAAAGATTGAAGCACCCGGACGCAAATTCTGGGACGAAGTTGCAATCTTGAAAATTTTCATTTCTAGGCCTACAGGTTCGTTTCAAGGCTGTCCCCTTTCCCTATAAATATCCCCCTTCAACTAAGAGCTTGATCATCTCCTCTTGTACTTCCTCTTCCTCAACTTTGCAGTTTTTCTTTATTTTTAGTTAGTTTTGTTCTTTATTTGGGAGAGTCTTTCTCTCCATCTTTCTCTCATTCCTCCGCTGATTTTGGGCTTCCATGTTAATGAAGGGTGAATAGTTTTCTTATACTCTTTAGTTAAAGTTGATAGATTTCTGAATATTTATTTGAATATTGTACTTATGCAATTTATTCTTGTTTTAATGCTACATCTTTATTTCACATGAATAATTGAATGATTTTAGCAAAGTTTGATCACTTGTATCAAATGTTTGATTGTTTGTTAACAGGTTAGCATATACAATGATTATGATTCCCTGCAAGTATTTTAGCTAGATCTAGAAATCTCTATTTAACTGAGTTATACAAATTTGCATAAGTGTGATATCCAATAAATGTAAGCAAATTTGAATCCTGAAACTAAAGAGTCATTTTTCATTTTTTGTTACTTATATTTTGTCCCAAAAAATGTCACCATACCAGCTTAACATTTTAGAGAGAAAACCCGTTCTTTCTTCACTCCCTTGTCGAAATACCATTTTCCCTGTGGATCAAACTTGGACTATACTGAGTGTTATTACCACAACTTCACTACCTGCACTTGGATATACCTTTGGGATATCAAGCAAATTTTTGGCCCCGTTGCCGTGGAACACGAAGCTATTTTGGAAAGAGTTGAAGGAGAAATTCACCTTCATCATACGATTTACTTGGAGATATGCTTTCTTGGTAAACTCGTTCCACTCTTTGTGAATATTATTAGTTTTGATTCATTTTATTGTATATATTCTTCTTTATGTTTTATTTAGTTTTTAACTTATTATAGTACTAGTTGCATGTCTGGTGAGCATTCAAGTAATTCCTCTAGGGAAGAGTTTGCATTAGGAGAATCTTTAGGGTAAATTCATTGAGTCCATCTAGTCCTCGATTGATCAGATTCTTTACACTTGGACTTAGTGGAGTTAGAAATCACATGGATGATAGAGAATAGATAGTTAATAATCAATTGGGTAGAACTCTTAGTGCTTACTTGCATCTCATTCGCAGTACTGTTTTATCTTGTTTTATACTTACTATTAATGTTGCATGCTTAAGGAAGGTCAAGCAGAACCATTGTTGCCTGATGGGAACTTCCCCCATATTGCTATCAATGTCTTCATGTCGCACGACCTCTTGACATTACATCACTGAATCCCCAATCCTTTGCTTGCTGTGCAGTGACAGTACCAATATCCACTAATCGTTGTTTCCAGATATGGTTGCTAGTTGACATCTCTTCTAATTCGTCAATACGAGAAGCACATTATTGTGTGGAGGAATCAATATCTCGACATATGCCAATAGGTAGATCTTGTGCCTCTCCACTTGGTCGTATGAAACTGGCATGCATCCTAGCTCCCGAGACTCTTTCATAGAATTCCAACAATTTCTTCCGCTCCTCCAAAGTCCACAGGAATGGAGTTGATGCTCCCACATCCATAGCATGAGTAGTTAAAGCAAGTGAACACAATTTTAACATCAAACCTAGTTTCTGTGACGCCCCAAAGTTCGAGGGTCCTTTATTAACCCATTGATTATCCAGTAATCTGTGGAAGTACCCTTGCATACCGCATAACCCGATACCACATCATCACACAACCATACAAAGATCCAATCTCCATCCATTTGTCCTTAACATTTCATCAATTACACTATTTAACCAAGAAGGCTTAAGGACCGAAGACTTGACAAAGTTATATTTAATTTTTATTTTTTATTTTTTGAATGAGGTGCAGGTACCTCTTACACGTGGTACCAATACCCGAGTCTTCCGTTTGCCAGGAACTGGTACCTGATTTACGGGGTACCGGTACTTGAGTCCATTGTTTGTTAGGTACTGGTACCTACATGTCAAAATATTAGTACCTAAGCTCATTGTCCATCGAGATACCGGTACCTGTGGCCATGGTACTGCTACCTGAGCCCACTGGAGTCTAGGTACTGGTACTTATATGTTGAGGTATTGGTACTTAGGTTATCCGACAACGTGGTACCGGTATGTAATCACCTTGATATCGGTACTTGGGCCTAGTTTTTCCCCCAATCCTTTAAATTTTCAATTTCAACTCATCCATTCTCATTCCGAGTTCATCCAAACTCATATGACATCAAATTTTATACAAAATATAGTCCATATGAATTCATTATGCAATCCTTTATACAAAATACAAGTCCAAAATAACATTGTTTTACAAAAATATAATTTAAAGTCACAATTCGACTTCTTCTCAACAAGGACCCATGCGAGGGCTGTCTATCGGCGCTTGTCCCGCACCTGAAATATTTTTCTTTATAAAGGGTGAATCACGCTCAATAGGGTATCTCCTAAAGAGGTTACTTCCCAACTTAGATACATATAAAATATTCACATATCACTTCAATTATCAATCAAACATCCATTCAAGAATATGCCATTCATAATGGATTTTACAATGTCATGTCATATCATGAGATGGTACTCATACATGTAATGTGTAAAATCCAGGGAAATTTGAATTTTTGTGAGAAACGAAAAAACGGTAATTTGCCACTTCAGTGTGGGTTGAAAACCCATATTTTTCTAGAGTTCGGATGATGAAACAGACCTCACCGTTGGATTTGTTTCGTGAAATCTAGTTGCCTAGTCAATTTTCGTCGAATTTTGAGATAGTTAGATTTTTTGCGTTTTACAAGGTGATCTAGTGTCGGGTGACCTAAAAATTAAATATGAAATAAAATTTTGAAAGTTGCAAAATTATTTAAAGAGAGTTTATATATAAATATTTTGAACTTGAACTGAGAAGAAATTTAATTGTTTCAAGACAAAATTGGACCTGAAAAAAGAGGACGTGTGGCGCGATGTGGACCAAACATTTAAAGAGTATAAATAGGGGAGAAAATCAGATTTTTTTCCCATTGTTCAGCTGGTTTTAACGTTGGAAGAGGAAGAGAGGGAAAAGGAAGAGGGCTCCACTTTCTCTCTACGATCTACGCCTCCATGTTGCCCGAATCAACATGAGCCAAGAATTAAAGTTGTTCTACTCGTCGAGGGCTACAAAACCATTCCAAAAAGGATGGGTTTCACCAAAAATTCAAAAACAAAATTTTGAAAAAATCAAGGTTTGAGCATGAGTGGTGTTCTTGAAGGCTTTCTAAGTTGATTTTACGCTTCAAGATATATGGTTTTCCTCCTAACTATGTTTATTTTCAACTTAGGGTGACTATATGAAATGGGTATGTTTGTTAGATGTATTAACACTTAACTATTGTTGTAAATTGATGAAATGAATATTAAAAGTTGGTAGAATAAATTCTATTTTGAATTGGGTATGTAGAAATTACTTAAAGTGATTTCTTGAGATTTGTGATAAAATTGGGTATTTTGTGTGATTACATGATTTGGTACCTTGAAGGTGTTTGATTTAAATGCCTATGTGAAATTAAGTGTGTCTTGCATAGACTATGTATAACATGCTTGAAAAATTATTGTTGAATGTAAATGTTGATATATGCTAGTTGATATGTTGATATATGCTAGTTGATATATTGATATTATAAGTATTTTTGGAAATTATATGCTTAGGATATAATTACCCATGATATATGTTGAAATGTGGTTGAGATTGTTCATATAACACTCATACATATTGGACATGATATAGTATTGCAATCGTACATTACATTGCATATACACAGAGATATCGCATTATGTAAGTGTGTGTGCATAGTTGTCATCAAACACCACACTTGGTGGATGATGGGTGGACTCGAAAAAGTTGGATTGAAGATCAGGCTGAGTCGTATTGTTTGCATTGAAAATTGGGTCGAGGTCGAAGGGCTAGATTATCCCTCAGATGCAAGATCCAGTTAGTTAGGCTGCACACTCCCTTGATTTAGTCCATAAAGTGTGTCAGTGTACGCGGAACCGTTGGTGGAAATTCATGAATTTCGTGTCAGTTGGGTGTTCTTTGGTGTAAGTTCATAAATACCCACCCCAAGAAAGATCTGAAGATTTTAATAGTCATTGGATGTGTAACACCAATTACGGGGGTTTGGAATGCCCGATTTTGTACTCATGGCATTGCATGGGTTATGGGAGCCGGTAAAGGCTCGAGTTGAGTTGCATGAGTGAGTCTCATCTCATTTCATGGCATGACATGATAATTCCTATCATTGAATTGCATATCCTTGATTGGAAAGGTTTATTGCTTGTGAAATTATGCATGTGAACGTTTCATATGTATCTAGGTTGGGGAGTAGCCTCTTTAAGAGATATCCTATTGAGAGTGGCTCACCTTTTGTGGAAAAATATTTCAGGTGCGGGTTATACATCGGTGGAAGGGTCTCGTTCGGGGCCTCAAAAATAAAGAAAAGTCGACTTGTGACTTCCAAAACATACTTTGTAAATGGCTCAAACCTCGTCACCGGTACTTGACTGTATCCGGTTCCTGATGGACAATATTTTTGTGTCCTGTTCCTGGGACTCCATCACTTTGCTCAATAGGGAAGGTGTAGGCACTAGGCTCCCCAAAGTGCCTTGAGCCTAATCCTCGTAGTGTTGCCCATATTGTGACATAGTCTTGAACATCCACCATTCCTAGGAAGCTATACTAGCTAAGACTCCTCGTGATTTCCGGTTGAATGCATCAGCCACCTCATTTATCTTACCAAGATGGTAATGCAAAGTGAAGTCATCATCCTCTAGGTACTCCAGCTACCTACATTGCCTTATGTTGAGGTCCTGCTGAGTAAAGATATATTTCAGACTTTGGTGGTCCGCAAACACCTCGAACTACTCTCTATACAGATAATGGCACTAAGCCTTCAAGGCAAAGATGATGACCACCAACTCTTTGTCGTGAGTGGGGTAGTTTGGCTCATGACTCTTCAGCTGCCAAGAACCATAAGCTACCACTCTCTCGAACTGTATCGAAACACATCCAAGTACGTCCTTGGAGGCATTACAATATACCGTGTACCTCTATTCCCTCTCCGAAACTATTAGAATAGGAGCTGAAGAAAGCCTTTTCTTTAACGCTTGGAATGCCCTCTCACACGAGTCATCCCTTTAAAACTTTTGACCTCCTTCCTAGTCAACCTCGTCATAGGTGCAACTAATTGGGATAAGTCCTCAATGAATCTCTGGTAATACCCTGCCAATTCTAAAAAAATGAACCTCTTCTAACTCATGATTACTTCAACCTTCTCCGTTGACACACCTGAAGTTGACACCACGTGTCCTAGGAATTTTGCCTCCGTCAGCCAAAATTCACACTTGCTGAACTTGACATATAATTGGTGGTCTCTCAAGGTTTGGAGAACAATCCTCAAGTAACCCTTATGCTCCTCCTTAGACTTGGAGTAGATTAGGATGTCATCAACGAAGATCACGACAAATTGATTTAAATGGAGTTGGAACTCCCTATGCATGAGACCCATGAATGTCGCCTGGGCATTCGTTAATCCAAAAGGCATAACTGTGAACTCAAAATGCCCATACCGCGTTATAAATGTCATCTTCGGGGATAGCTTAAAAGAAGGTTTGGAAGGTGAAGAAACCAAGAAAAAGACAAATTGCATGAAAACCTTCTGGAAGGTTTGGCCATAAACCTTTTAGAAGGTTTGCACTTGGTTTGCCTATGCCCTGCCAAAACCTTCTGGAAGGTTTTGTCTACTAGAATAAACCTTCTGCAAGGTTTGCATCGACCTTCGGAAGGTTTGGGTCACTGGACAAATTTTTATCCTTGCCTTGTATAAACCTTCCGGAAGGTTTACATCGACCTTTTGGAAGGTTTTGCCCAGAAATACTAGACAGCCTGTAACTCAAGCTCTGCCACTTGGGGGTCCCACCTATGATTCTCCTACTTATTCCCTGGCATCTATTACACACATACATGCCTCCCTTTGCCTAAGGTTGGACTTTGGAGGTCCAAGCATTTATGAGGAAGAGAGAGAAGAGGGAAGCATGAGAAGTTGCAGGCTAGGCTTGTCTAAGCTTGTCAAAACCATCAACTCAGCCCCCCATTGAGGGGAAGCCTCTCACATAGGCTATAGGACCTTCATGGAGGAAAATAAAGGGAGCACTTGACATTTTTTTTAGAGCATTGTTCAGCATTGTAGAGAGAAGAACCCAAGGAGGAAGACATGGTTATAGAGAGAGAAGTTAGATTTTTGCATTTCCTTTACCCATTTCACTTGTAATCTGCTTTAAGACTCTTGTAAGCTTCATTTATTGCACTTAATGTCATTTATTTCAAGTGTATTGCAAGTTTAGTGAAGTATCTTTCAATTTACCATTGTTACATTCAAGTTTTTCACTTCAAGCTTTTAAAATGGATATTAAATGCACTTCTTCATAGTTTAATTTTTCTTGGATTAAGTCAAGTTTCAATCTTCATTTTTTCACAATGTCTCTTTACTTTATGTATGGTCTTGCATTAAATATGAGTAGCTAAGCTTTAAGTTGGCTAATCCAAGGGGAGATTCTTCCTGGGTATGCTAAATCAACTCTTTTCCATTTCTCCTCGTAGTGTAAGATGGTTTGGTTTGACTAGGTTGAGTGTGGACG